TTTTTTTTGTTTTTTTTTTTTTTTTTTTTTTTTTTTTTTTAGTAAAAAAACTCCAATGGTCGTTTTTTTCTCACATTCAATTGATACGAATTGGGTGAATTTGTTTTCCCCCAATTTACGTCGCGAATCCCAGAGAAGCGACAAAAACAAATCCCAATTTCCGCCAAACACGTCACGGACCCGACGCCCGTCATATCAATCGGTGGTTACCCCTCGTTACAAGCGACTATTACGCATTCATTCTCGATCGCGTGGTGCTATGCAACGAGTCCCGCGTCGGCCCGCCTCGTTAATTAGGTCGCTGTCGTTTATAAATCAGCGGCTCGGCCCTCGTGCGGTGATTCGCAATTACGCATCGACTGGCCACGTTACAACCTTGGCCAGCCAGCCGCGAAAAAGCGCATCTGTCTCTCGGATCCTCATCCCCATTGGTCCGTCTGCGTTTGACAATAGTCATTTTTCAGCCCCCAAGAGCTTGACAATCGCCCTACTCGATCCCAAAGTTGTGTGGGCGTGTGTGTTTTCGAAGGGTAGAAAGTGAGGTAATTTTTAACGATGCCATACATTTGGGATGCGCCATTTCCGTCAATGGGAAAGAAGCCTCGATATTTTGGCTTCAAAAATTACGGTCGAATGAATACTCGACGCGAATTAATTTTGCTGTTTTGCGATGAATGGTGAAAAATTTCATCAAGATTTCACGGACGGGTGCGTTGATTGAAATTACCTTTGATTTGAATTAATGTCCCTGCAAGCATATAATTAATCATACCGTTGCATGGAAGAGCATTCATAACGCATTGAATTGCGTTGTGCGCGTGTAATGGATAATAAAAGAAAAAAAAAAGATGATAACAGTTTGGCAGGTAAATAAAACGCGAACGAACAAAGAACGAGATCTCCTTGGTATATTTTATGCCGGCGATAAATATCTCGACTCGTAAAAGGGTTCCATTGTTCAATCGGGGCGCGTGACATTTTTTAACGACAAAATAGATGTCCACACTCGTGCGGTGTACATACGGCTGAGCTGCAGCAAATAGCGCAACAAATAACGGCGAAGGAGAAAAAAAAGCACGTACAACGATATCGGGAAATAGATTTCCATCTTTTCTGTACGAAAAGGCGCTAAACAACGGCACACGGCACTCACTCGGATCCGACGTGTGTTCCCCACCGCGTGATTTATTATTTGCCGGGCTAAGCTGTGTGTATGCACATTTATTATACGCTCGGCTTGGTCGGGCTGTCAAGCGCCGAGTGAGTTGACGCGTCGAAAAATCAAGAAACGCCATTGTCAACCCTTGATCCTAGCCGTGGCTGTGGGTTTCGTATTACATGCCCTCGAGGGCTCAAGAGGATTGGGAAAGAACTGAGAGGGTTCCACCGTCGTACACACACTAGTTTTGCCACGGGGCTCTCTTACGTGACCGGACGACTCAATGTCCTCTGTGTTATCATCCCTCTCTTCTTTGGAGACGAGACTTTTCTCTCTTCTTATTTATTTTCACGGCTCACTCGACTCTAACATTACCTTTTTGTTCGGTTTAATGGCTTGTTTTTATTATAATTTTTTTTATTACTTTTAACCGTGTGAATAACGAGTGAGTAGTTTTTTTTTTTTCGGGGTGGGTAAAAGAGGGATCGAAAAAAACACAAGTATAACGGGTACAGCGCGCTCGATGATTTTTCACTCGCGACGAGCTCTCGCGTATAATATTGATTTAAAATGCCCTCGGGCTGTTAGCGCGGCTAAGTGATTCGATTAAAGTTTCATTTTCAGACTTTTTCATCACCCCCCATGTAGAGAGATGGAGAGAGAGAGAGAGAGAGAGAGAGAGAGGGAAGGCGTCGCTGCTCTGTCGACAATTTAATTGATAGTTAGCCTGTGACGCTGGATGAAATCATTTTTTACCAATCTGAGAGCAGTTGGATTCATTTTGTTCGCGCTTGTATGAAGTGAATTGATGATTGATGGCCTGAATGGCCGTGTTTTTTTGCTTTGCTTACCGTTCAAGGTAAAAGCATCAATTGAATTTGAATAACATCAATATTTAATTGCTCATTGAGCTGTTCTTTTGTGTAACGTAAATTAATTGTTGAATCAACAAAATTTAATCTACGAGGATGGCATGTCTCTCTATAACTGAAGTTTTATTGAGTTTTAATTTTTTTTTCTTCTTTGTTTTTATGAAAAAAGTATGATCCATTATAAAAGAGGACCATTAAAAAAAAACTTGGTCTTAGCTGATCATGGTCATGATTGCCATTATGTGGCCATGACGTACATCAAGTTTTCAGGTAATACAAATTAAGAACATATACACGTACACAAGATTTGTATCTAGAGTTATATTAAATTGTTTAATATTACTTTGATGTTAATCGTTCCGACATTTCACTAATTTATTTTTTATTCAAACGAAATACAAATAAAAACTTGACTAATTGTAACCCCGCTAGGTTACCGCTGTATGACAGAATAAATGGGTTTGATTCAAAATGAAAATAAAAATAAATAAACTGTTACTCTATATATTTTTGAAAGAAAGATTGAGTCAAACAAAAAACTTGAAAATGAGCTGCTTAAGGTGGTATTCTGAGTGATCTTTAATTTTTCTTTTTTCATGATATACACGTTCAAAAAGCCACCTTTAACAATAATTGGAAGATCTTTATTAAAAGTATTAGTGTTCTTTCTCACCAACGAGATTCCNTACATTCATTGAATAAAAATAATTTTTTTTAATCATCCTTATTCATTTATAGTCCTTTGAAACCATTGTTATTTCAAAAACTATATTTTCTAAATTCATTACCTTTGTTTGTTATAGTTTTGTATCAAAAAATAAATCACAGGTGATATTTATATCCTTGATCGTAATATTACTCTTTTATTTAAAAAATTTATGTAAGTATTATATCTATTGTAGCTTTACGTATTTATGGAAGTAGATCATGAAATATATTAAACGACTTCGCATCAACTATTTTAAACAGCACTTCCCCTCAAACTGGTCAATGAGAAAAGCCGCAAAAAAAGTTCAAGTGCTTTGTCATCCATTTCTTGGAAACTCTCTGTGGTTATTCCGGTGACCCCCATTATTATTATTATTACTGCCCTGATCGCCGTACTCTTCTGTTGCTTCCAACCTTTCAACGACCCTTCCCAGACCCACGTAAGCTTCTCTATTCCTTTGGGTGCCTTTGTTTTCTCTCAATATACACTCGAGGGACTTTGATGTTCTTTCACGTACGCGTGTGTTATATAACCACCACAGATACACACTTTGGTGTGTGTGTGTGTAAGTACATAGATACTCATCACTCTTCTCGATGGGAAGATGGAAGCGAAAAAAGGGTTTCGAAAAAGACTTACCGCCAAGAAGAAAACAAGCGCAGGAGATAAGCATCCTTAAGATTTCCTTGCAACACGAGCCGCATATGGATGTCACTACCCCGACGAAGACTAGAAAACCAGCTATCACTTGGTAGACCATTGATACTCTAAAATACATGAAAAAGCAATGAGGTTTTTTTTTTTAATAGTTCAGATAATAATGTTTTCGATATTTATACATAGTATTAATGTATCATTAATGATTTAACATGAATTGGTTGAGAAAATTAAACACAAGTAAGGTAATTTAGTTTTAAGTTTTTTTTTAAACTTATGACATAAGTATTACTTGTTCTCTTGGCGATTCAAACGAGTCTTTATTCCTTTTTTGAATCTTTTGATTGCATTTTTTGAACCAACCTTCATATCGATAAACTCTAGTTAATTCGGTGTCCATGAAACTTTATTCATTACATTACATACTAATATTGCAAGAAATAAACTTTTTTTTTTTGAAATGTTAAAAAACTTGCGTTGCGAACTGTTCATATGTATTTAATGGTATAGAGAATTCGGGCTAATAAAACAGGGGACTTCAGGATGTAAAGCTTCAACTGGAGAACTGTTGAGCTAAAAAGTTTTTATTTCACATGCTGTTTGAGGTTTTAAAGGAATTTTTTTTTCCACTCAAGCAGTGTTATTTTCGCGCACACAAGGAAATTTTTTTTTTTAAATGTTTTCCGAATTTGGAAATTTTATTACAATACTAATGATACAGAGATGTTTATAGAACCGGTGTTGAGAAAACAGTGACAGCAAAAATTATCGGAAACGAAGGCTATCCGTATTTCTTTTTATACAGATGATCATAAAAAATAACAGTAGAAACAGACAAATTTGGTAAGACCGTGAGGCGATTGAAGGAGGAGCCTTATGCCCCCTTACATTTGATTTGTTGAGTAACAAGCACCTTTCATGTACTTACTGAAGCTTGAAAAGGTCATGAGATGATTAAATGGTATTGGATTGGGTCTCAGAACTTTAAAATATACGTGTTTAATTTTTTGCTTTTTCGAAAATTCAATATCCTCGTATTGTTTGAACTTATATTTGTAGGATTTTACGAATATTCTCACTTCAAAATGAGGTACAATCAGACGATTCTGTTATGAATGATACAATTTATTAGTAATATTTGTTTTAATATTGTACATTGTTTTTATAAAAGTTTTACCGATTTATATTCTAAAATAACACGTCGTACTCGAAAAACATATGATATTGTAAAAAAATAAAATTTTTAAATGTAAGTACTGGTAACACGTATTATTTTAGAGTTTGAATGTACTTTAGTGTTACCTCAGGACATGTTTACAAATGGCATTTATAACCACGAGTTAAAACAACATTTTCATTGTTATATTTTACACGAAAAACTTTGTGTTTTTATTTATGTGCGCACTTTTACTCCAACAAATTTTGTTTACAATTTTTTTAAGTTAATATTAATAACATGTTATATTTTAAAAAATGCTGGTATTGACAACGCTTTAAAAATCACATTCTGTAATATTTAATTCCTGTAATGTCTAAATGTTACGTTTGAAATAGTGCTTTGTGCCTAGCCGTAATGATGATACAGAGTAGAGTAAGCGTAGGATTGTCGTGAAAAACGACAGGAATTAATTATCAACAAAACCCACCAATCTCAAGTCACGTTACATTAGGGAAAGTGGCGAAAATCGCGTGCGCATGTGTATACGCACGATGGAAAAAAATATCTGACAGCAAAAGTATATTTCCAGCGTGAGGGCCCTGAGATTTTTTGGGTCGAGGAGACGAATGGCCGAGACATAGAGAGAAAGAAAAACAAAGAGGGGAAAAAAAAAATAAACCACGTCACACCCAAGTACATCATAATTCCTTTCAGAGTCGACAGTGATAAAAAAGGAGGGAAATCCCGGACTAGCAGTAAAAATGGATGTGAAAAAACATTATTATACAGTTGTTCCATTTTTTTTATAGATACATTCCTTGCACAAACAAAACTTTATATGTCTGCTGACTTTTCAAGCTTAAATAATGTCTCACATGCGTTTGGATAAATACGCTGACGTGCCAGATAAGATCAAAATCACATCTTTATGCGATGGTGGTGTAGTTGTAACGTGAGTGTGAACCACACGGTGATATTTCCATAAAACTCAACTGTACGTTCTGTAGATTATCTAGCAAATGCGTGGTATTTTTATTAAAATACCAACTGATTGCTACGTGTATTTTTAAATCGCCATCAAAGTATGGGTTTCGAAAAATTATTTTCATTACCTTTGTTTGTTATAGTTTTGTATCAAAAAATAAATCACAGGTGATATTTATATCCTTGATCGTAATATTAAAATAGTATTTATAAAAATAATCGCATGATTATACTGTTACACCGTGGAGGAAATCTTAGTACGATCATTTTCTGCAGCAGTAAGTATTCATATAGTTATTATTTATTTAAATGTTAAAAAACGCAAAGCAATCACATGAATACGTCATAAAGACTCTTTCTTATTTTTTAGATAGTAGTAGAAAAAAAATGTATTATAGATGTAAAGAAAATACAGTTCTTTATTCAAATGACCGCGTGGCACTAATATACTGCAACGCGCTCTCAAGTGTCGGAAAATCTCATAACTACTGTACACGATAAAAAGTGAGTGTATATCTCGGACGTGGCTCAACAAGACGGTCGTGTGATTACGTGGTAAGAAGTGAGACGTGTGATGTGTACATAAATTGTAAAAGTTGTTAAAGAGAATTGACAGCTAAAGAATAAACTTTAAATGTCGTTTCTCTAATTTCAGGTGAGAACCACATTTGTAAAATAATTGTAAATTAGTTATGTAATTAATAAATAAATCTCTAATTTCAGAGCAACACAATATTTTTTTATTTAAAAGCTATCTAAAATAATAAATAGACTTATATAGAGATACCAGGTTCTAGCTTCATCTCTATTTTGTCATAAGTATCAATCCTTTTAACTAGACTTCGAGCTTATTAGCTTTTTAATTAAAAACAATGAAATAAAAATAAACGTCTATTATCTGCAATCTAATATTTGGTGAGACTTGCATTTTCGAATAAAAAAAATTGCATCTTACATATACGTACGAAAAATCTGAGATTACGAAACAAAACATTACTTATCTTTGATAACTCAGGCAAACGTGACTCAGCACGGCAATAGTTTGAGATTGTGTCTTGCGTATTCATTTTTACGTTACTCTTTGAATGATTTCATACGGAATGAAGTTTTTTATTTCCACTGTCTCGACAATCTTGTGCCTTTCTAGTATTAGTGGTAAGTAATTTAGGGCAAGATTTTCCAAGATTTATTATCATATCCGACTTACATACGTTTTTTTCTCCCAAATTTAGAATATATTTCAGCTATGCCTTATGATCGTGACGTGGAATCCACAATATCAGACGAACAGTTGCAAAACGACGTGAGCTTTTTTTTGTTTACCCGAGAATATCCCGAAAATCCGCAACTGTTGCCTATCAACGATAAGAGTGCAATAGAGAAAAGTGCGTATGATGCAAGTAGACCAACTAAATTTATAACACATGGTTGGATGAACTCTTATCGTGGACTGAATTGCATCACAATCACTAGAGGTACGTAACAATTTCAAGGCAATCATTACGTCTTCTTTTTTTTCAGATATTATAAATAGCTGGTTATAAATTATATACTTAATCAATTTTTATTGTGATTGGAAACTTGAAAAAACAGTACGAGTCTATTCGTGAAAGTGAGAAAAATATGTGGGATCATAAATAACTACGACACCTTTTTGTTTTGGCCAATATAAAGAGCTAAACATTTTTTCAACCCCATAACAGCGTTTCTAGCTCAGGATGGCTACAACGTCATCGTCGTTGATTGGAGCAACATCGCCCAACTGGCCTATACAAAGTCGTATGAGCAAGTAAAAGCCGTTGGTGGACACATAACGAAAATGATCAGCTTTTTGGAAAGCCTGGGCAGCAATCGGAGCGATATGTCCCTCGTCGGCCATTCTCTTGGCGCGCATGTGATGGGATTAGCCGGGTACCAAGCTGTCAATAAAGTCGGCCACATCGTCGGTTGGTTAACAAATATTTTTTATATGTTTAGTCATTCGGTTGGTCGCACGAAAAACCAAAAACGCTTTGAGCAACAATAGCAACAATGCTTTATTCTCTGTTTGTAAATAAAAAAAAATTTTTTTTATTAATCAACATTTCAAGAAATAAGATTTTGGTTCAGTTCGTCGTGCAATAGAAATCAAAATAATACTAAAACAATCAAGTTTTTTCACGCGAGTGGGAAGTCAAATTAAAGATATTAGTTTAAATGAGGATAACTAGATTAACAAAAGTATTTAAAATATGAATGCTTGTTTTTAGTAATTATATTTTAAAAATAACTTTCCACCTTGCAGAAGATTTCCTCATGACGTATAATGGGCTAGCAATCCGTTTACATATACATTTGGATTATTGAAATTTGAGTCAATAAAATTTTTTCATTTCATTCACGAGAGTTAACATGAGAGAGAAAATGACTTTTTTTTACACAAAATCCTATGTCCACGAGCTCTGTAAATTGATGTATCTGTGTATTCTACAGGTATGTTATGAATGCCGAGCCAGAGGTGAGAAATTGAGTTAATATTCTGTTGCATAATATGCAGTCGTATATTATGACAAACGTAACAGAGCCTAACATATTACGTGCAGCACAGAGCACGGGAAATGCTTGATTCCTATTTATTAGTGATGGTTACGAAATTAATTGTTACGGAACTGATCATTGCAGAACTGTCATTTCATCTTTAAAGTTGTATGATCTCTTTGCAATGTGATATTATGACTTGACGGCATAAATGGCACTTGTGGTTTCTGTGTACTTAAAAAAATTATCTTTACAAAAAAAACACCTACATTGGGTTTTGTATTTTATAATCGAATTTATACTTGATAGAAGGTTGAGAATTAACATTTTGGCTTCTATCTGCCAGTATGTTTCATCAAACGGATCATAATTCTACAAAAAATGAATCTCATTATTCCAGGCTTGGACCCAGCAGGCCCAGGCTTTTACAAAGCTGGCCCAGGAGAGGGAATTTCGCGAGAAGATGGAAAACTAGTCGAAATAATTCACACGAATATCGACTTCTTGGGCATTTCACCATCGGTAGGCCACGCGGATTTTTATGTAAATGGCGGTGGACCGTCCCAGCCAGGTTGTGGTCCAGACCTGGATGGTTTTTGCGCTCATGCCAGAGCATATGAATTTTTCGCCGAGTCAATAACCACACCGGATGCTTGGCTGGCAACGCAGTGCGACAATTACCAAGCCTTCTTGAAAGGCGAGTGCTCGAACAACGCGGTGACATCGTTTCCCAGGTGGTCCAACGATGGCACGATAAAAATGGGCTCTTACTTTTTGCGGACAAAGGACAGGGCACCTTACGGGATGGGTGTGGAAGGAGCGAAGCCTTCCGACATGAAAAAATGATTTTACTTTTGTCTTGCTCCAGAAATTTTGTATCAACTACAATTATTATGATTTGTTGTACTGATTGTTTTTTTTAAATCAGCATTCGATTGCAAACATATTTTTTTTATACTTTACAAACCAAACTGACTTATGTCGATTTGTACATTCATTGAATAAAAATAATTTTTTTTAATCATCCTTATTCATTTATAGTCCTTTGAAACCATTGTTATTTCAAAAACTATATTTTCTAAATGATAAAATATCTAATTTTATAACTGCAACAATACTTGTAAAAAAATATGTACAACAATGTTGCGCATTGACGATAGAATATACAATTTAAAGACTTTGTCAAGATTAAGTCAGTTTGGCCTAATCAAGATAATTCCGTTGCAATTATGTTATTTAAAAATATCCTCTTACTAATTAAGAACAGATGATCTTTCATGCTCAGCTATTTAAAAATTATGATATTTATTATCGATTTAAAATAAATACGGCAAATAATGATCATGTTTAAGGTATTTAAAATAATGACATCTTGAGTAGTTCCAGCTATTTAAACCAGGATTGGTGTTGCTTATAAAATAACGCAAGACCATCCAGTTGATTTAAAATAATACTTATAATCGATAGTATACTTGTAGAACTCGTGCATTGTGTCGAACACTCGTTCAAAATGAGAACTCTATTTTCACTTTTATCAGTCATTTTTTTTCATATCATTTTTTGGGTAAGTAAATATTTATGTCAATTAAAAATTTGCGAGTAAAGATCAGAAGAAACAGTAGTGTGGTTTCATTTGCTTCTTAAACTGGTCTAATGGTGTTTCTACACTACCTGGCACACACGAAAAAACATTGCAAACTTACGACCCTTTGAAATAGGTCGCTTCAATATACCTAGAATACTCGTAGCCAATAACGGACTTTTTTTAAAACACATTAACACTGTTACGTTTAGGTGATCCATTCATTCAAGGGCAGAAAGTACCTGATATTCGTTTTAACTCAAGTGGTATAGATTATTCCAACGATATACTTTTCTTTCTGTATACACGTGAAAATAAAGATAAATATCAAAAACTAAAGGTTGATGATGAAAAATTGTTAGAAAATAGTTACTACAGTACATCAAGACCAACAAAATTTATTACTCACGGATACAAATATATAGTGGAACAGAAGAAAGTTGTGTACTGCCCAGACAAGGTATCATCGAGTACACTTCTTAATTAATATGTCTAAAATAATAGCAGTTGAGACTCTAAGAATTTTTAAAAGAGGATTTTTAAATCACGGTGACTACAACGCGATTGTCGTGGACTGGAGTGCCTATTCAAAAAAAGATTATTTGCTTGCTGCGAAACGAGTAAAAGCTACAGGCAAATACGTTTCGAAAATGATTAAGTTTCTTGTAAATAAGGGAAGCGACATTAAGCAAATGTCACTGGTTGGACATTCCTTGGCTGCGCATATCATGGGTTTGGCTGCTCACGAGTTATCGCCAAAAGTTGCGCATTTAGTTGGTATGTTTCCATGTCAATAAACATCTTCATGATATCATGATATAAGTAATTTTTCTCTGAGCTTTTCCTATTTACTTTTGAGCTACAAGTTTTAGGATGAATTTTTTTTAAATATTACATTAACTCTAGTTTGGTAAAAGACATTGCCGTGCAGAAAAAATTTGATTTTACCATTGCTTTCTGGAAGCGTCACTTTAATCATTTTCTTCTACAATTAACTTCTGCTACCTACTTGTTAATGAAATTGATAAATTAAAAAAAAATTATTTGTCACATAAAATGAAAAATTCTATCTGGGTCACGTGAAAAACATATTTGATTACGTGATATGAAGAGTACATTTAATGCACACACAAACAAATTTTTTTTGAAATGTCCCAGCACATTGTCTTGACTTACTAAAAATATTTGCTATTAATGGTTTGTCACGAAAAAAAAAGAACTTTATTTAATTTATAAAATAATTCCAACATTGTCATAATTGATAGGCTTGGATCCAGCCGGCCCGGGTTTCGAGACAAAAGGCCCGAATGGACGCATAGATCACTCCGATGCTGATTATGTTGAGATCATTCACACCAATGCTGGTGTTTTGGGTTTCCCTTACTACATCGGTGACGTTGACTACTGGCCGAATAGGGGTGTCGAACAAGGAAATTGTGGCGCAGACCCAAAGGGTTTCTGTTCGCACGGCCGTTCTTACAAGTATTATGCGGAGTCTCTTGAATATCCGGACTCCTGGTACGCGGTCTACTGTCACACGTGCCAGGAATTTCAAGTCAAAAGATGCTACAATAATAGAATTGTGCAATTCCCGAGATGGGAGCCTATGGTCGACAAACCTCATGGAAACTATTCACTTCGCACTAATAGCTCCTCTCCTTATGGCCGTGGGCTTCGTGGTGCAAGAGCATAAATTTACGAAGGCCAATCTTATCAACATTTTTCCAAAAAATAAAGTCCTGAATTAATACATTGTTGATTAGAAGTTAACTATATTAAAATACCAAAACAAAATCATCATTCTTTTACGGTAGTTGATTTTTAAATTACAGTGAAATTAAATTTATGATATTAGATGTATGACATTAATGTCTGTTTGGTAACGTTACTTGGTGCAAAAAAAGAGTGTTTCTACCAAGATCCGACGTAGCATCTTTCTCACTCGTTCTTTCTCTCTAAACTTAAGGTTCTAATAAATGAATGCAAAGTATTTTTTCTCAAGATTTTCAGTTACACAGTTCAACTACACATCAAAAATGAACATTAGAAGCTGGAACTTCGTTTCTTGTTCATACATTCATTCTGTGTTTCAGTGTATCTTTAGTACCGCTATACACTGCATCTCCAAGTTGTCCATGAAGGTAAGCCTTAAGATAACGGTATAACTGTATAAGACACCCCTTCGGCCATTTAGAGCACATTCCGGGTTTAATTATCACTGCAATTGAATTAGAGAGAATAAGACTACTTTTTAAAATGTACCCTCTATCTCTTTTAGTACAACTTAGTATATTTCATATCATGAACTCAAAAGTTTTTGAATTTAAAGTTGAAGAGTTCACATTCTATGTATAGTTGCTTTCACGTACATGAAGTAATTGAAGCACAATGCAATAGTTAGGTAATATGCATAAAAAAAATATAAGTGATGTGTTGAATTGATATATATTCTATAATATATCAGACTATTTATCAAGCCAAACAGACAATTCTTATGCCAAACCTTTTTACAAGTGTACTAAATTTTATCAACCGTTAGTTTGAATAAATACAATAGCGTTACATTAACATGCGATAATTAATATAATTACGGTTTTCCACTACAATATGAACACGTGTCGAATTGATAAGACAAACACCAGTACCTTGAAGTATTTAAAATAATTATTATTTATACAAGCCTGAATATTTTTAACAAGGAAATATTTTGAGACTCTTCTTAACTCGTGGAGCTCGACTATTTTACACATTCAGTAAAAATGCGATTTTTGCTCTTGTCAACTATTTTGTTCTTATCCCAAGACATGCGTAAATACATCATATATGTAACCGCACAAAGGATTGAATTTCATAGAAAATTAAATTACTATTTCTGTTTGTAGGTAACACATTTGCTAAGTTGCAGCCTGTAGGTGATATATTAATTATTTTCAACGAAACTGGTATTGAATACCCGAAAGATATTCTGTTCTTCTTATACACACGTGAAAATGGAGACAATCATCAAAAACTGATGGTTGGCGATAAAAAATTGTTGCAGCAAAGCTCGTACAATATTTCAAGACCAACAAAGCTCATCACCCATGGATGGACAGAAGATGAAACTCTAGGAAGCTGCTCGATGCCTAGACGAGGTATGCCACACATCTAATTTCTCCATTAAATGTCATTGAGATAATAACACTATTGCGATATCAGGATTTTTAAGTCATGGTGACTACAACGTAATCACTGTTGACTGGGGCTCCTATTCAAAAACTTTATATAAGCTTGCCGCTGCACGTGTAAAAGCTACGGGCCAATATGTATCGGAAATGATCAAGTTCCTTGTGAGTCAGGGAAGTGACATTAAGCAAATGTCACTGGTTGGACATTCTTTGGGTGCGCATATCATGGGTTTGGCTGCTCACGAGTTATCGCCAAAAGTTGCGCACTTAGTCGGTAGGATTTGAGGTTTTCTGATTTTTTTTTTTTTTTTTTGTTGCACTTTAAACAATATTCTCAACATTCGATAGGCTTGGATCCAGCAAGGCCGGGTTTCGAGCTTAACGGTGCCGGTGGACGAATTCACTACACTGACGCTGACTATGTCGAGATCATCCATACGAACGCTCTTGGCTTGGGTCTCGAATTCTCCATTGGTCATGTCGATTACTGGCCAAATGGTGGCTTTAGGCAACCTGGTTGTGGTCTAGATATAATTGGAAGATGTGCACACAGTCGTTCTTATATGTATTACGCGGAGTCTCTTAAAAATCCTGATTCCTGGTTCGCAAGACGTTGTTATTCGTACGTGCAGTTTCTTCTTGGTGGATGTGACGACAACGAGGTAGCACCATTTCCCAGATGGGAGCCTGTGACGAGGAAACCTTCAGGAAATTATATGCTTATCACTAATGACTCTCCTCCATTCGGGCGTGGGCTGCGTGGAACAAAGAATAATGCATGAAGCGAAATCTTAAAACATCATATAGTACATAGTTGTCATCATTTTTAGCAGATATATTGTAGAACATTAGAAAATGTGTACTTTAAAGTAATATATTTGTAAAAAATAAATAATTTTATTTATTTTTTAAAATACGCTTTTCCGTATGAGAAATAATAATGAGTAGTCCGGTGTAAGAGTGTTAAATGCACCTTTTATTCAAGCAGGACATAATCTACGTATTACTAATAACATAATCACAAATTCATGTCAAAAAAGTAATAACATTTTTCAGGCCACAAGAAATTCAGAGCATATGTGTCAAGATTAGTATTATAAAAAGATTTGTTGCTAACTACAAATGTTTCATAATTATTACATTATAATTCATAGTAAAACAGTAGTTATGGTGTATTAAATATATTTATTACGACCATTGCTTTCGGTAGCCATGTTTTCACAATTGCCAAATTTTAACTTGCTAAATCGACATTTTTTTTATTAGCATAAAGAAAATTAAAAATACTTTTCCAATGTTTTTTTTTTAGCCTGATGTATAAAACAAAGTAAGAAGCTTTTATTTTATGCAACATCCAAATGAACAGCACGTTTGTCAACATCTAGCATTAGAATTAATTTACTTCTAACTATAATGGCTAAATATTAATTTATTCAAACCACATATTACACCAGTTAAGGATTTTGTCGAAGTTAATTAGGTTTAAAATAATCTAATCTCATCTGCAGTAACTATATCATTTAAAAATTTTTGTTCACTAATTGAGCAACACAGGTGATTCTACATGTTACTACCAAGTTGTGTTACAATTATGATAATTTTTATCCATAGTCTGTTAAAAATAAGTAAGCACATCACTCACAACAATTAGGTCATTAAACATAATTGAGTTTTTTCGCTACAACGTAGACATACGTTGAATTTATGAGATGAATAACCATTATCTCAAGGTATTTGACTAATCACTCTTTATGCAAGCTAGGTTTATTTAACAGGGAAACAAATTGTTTATATAATGATGTAAGACGACCTAGTCAATACACCAGATAACTCACAAAACTCGCTCGTTTCAAACGTTTATTCAAAATGCGATCTCTACATTTGACAATCATTTGGTTCTCATCGAATTTCATGTGTAAGTAAACGTATCCATGAAAAATGTTAATATTTTTTAACAAAACATATTACAATTTTTATGTGTAGATAATACATTTGCTCAACTGCAGCCAGTAGCTGATGTAATCATTACTTTTAATTTTACTGGCATAAATTACCCGAAAGATATTCTCTTCTTCTTGTACACACGTGGAAATGGTGAAAATTATCAAAAACTGATGGTTGGTGATACGAAATTGTTGGAGCAAAGCTCGTATAACATTTCAAGGCCAACAAAGCTCATCACTCATGGATGGACGGCAAATGGATTTCAGGAGAGTTGTGCTCTTCCTAGACGAGGTACACATACAATTTGGATATTGAAATTTTCGTGATATAAGTAAGGCCACTATTGCGATTTCAGGATTTTTAAGTCATGGTGACTACAACGTGATAGTTGTTGACTGGAGTACCTATTCTAAAACCGAGTACACAATTGCTGCATCGCGAGTAAAAGCCACAGGTCAATACGTATCAGAAATGATCAAGTTTCTTGTAAATAAGGGAAGCGACATTAAGCAAATGTCACTGGTTGGACATTCCTTGGGTGCGCATATCATGGGTCTGGCTGCTCACGAGTTATCGCCAAAAGTTGCACATTTAGTCGGTAGGATTTAAGGTTTTCTGATTTTTTGTTTTTTTTTTTGTTGCACTTTAAACAATATTCTCAACATTCGATAGGCTTGGATCCAGCAAGGCCGGGTTTCGAGCTGAACAATGTCGAAGGGCGAATTCATCACACCGATGCTGACCATGTCGAGATTATCCACACCAACGCAGGTGGCCTAGGCTTCGGTTTCTACATCGGGGACGTCGATTACTGGCCAAACGGTGGTGCAAGGCAACCCGGTTGCGGCGAGGACATGAGTGGAAGCTGCGCGCATGGTCGTGCCTACATGTATTACGCGGAGTCCCTCGAAAATCCTGACTTATGGTACGCGGTCAAGTGTAATTTGTACGCACGGTTTGTGATCGGCAAATGCAACGGCAACGATGTAGAGCCTTTTCCCAGGTGGGAACCTCTTGTTACCAAACCCCCAGGAAATTATATGCTCAGCACTCAGAGCTTCCCTTTATACGGACGTGGGCTTCGTGGTGCCAGAAGCACGAACATGTTGGAGACACTCTTACAATAAGTCCTACGTTATTTCTGGTTTTTGTACTGTATTAATATTTTTTTACAAAGTATATTTAAAAATATTAAGCCTTATAAATCGTTGTTTTTAAGTTTTGCTACGATAATTAAATAACTATATGTAAATAATTACAATGGAAAAAATAAAAAAAAAATAAAATTTAACACGTAATTTATGAGAAATTAAAATTTCAGTCCAACTAAATTTTAAATATTAAATGTATAGCCTTCACGTTACAGAAATTTAATGACGTTGCGAAGTGTGTTATCGCCATCGCGTATAACTTTTCCTGCATTAATTACAAAATATAACAACCTTCCTGCAGTGTACTTTATTTTCTCCACAACGTACTTTTATACGTAAAATACGCACGTAAAGGCGAAAACACCTGAAAAACAATACCCTCTCTTGTACGACACAGTACACCCAACAGTTTGTTACGATGCGTGCAGCGTAACGAGTAACCATACCGCACCCTTTGAGTCTTCAAGAAAAATAATGAACTCTTCGAAGTGTTTGTAGTTCGTGTCAAAAAAACACCAAACTTGCACAGGAATGCCGAAGAACACTGGTCTGATCTCACAGGATCTACTTACCTTTCAAGGTATATTGTATTCAGAAGAATATCCTCGGAGCCCTCTTACCTCTCATTCATTCATTACTATCAGCATCAATCGAGCTCTCGTGACACATTCACTCGCACACGCACACGTACGTCCGAATGGCACAGCAGTCGCACCTAGCCGTCTCGGACGTACCCCTCCTCAGTGCGCGCACACGCTTAATCTCACTTTCGGTCCAGTCGGACATCAGGTGGACCGAATTCCCTACGTCGAGCCCTTGAGAAATAAAACGAGCCTCTGGTTTGGTTTGATGTCGGGGAAATCTCGCCTCATCTCACCCTCCCATTATCGTTCTTCGGAAGAAGTGCCGTGAGATTTCATAAGGATACTTCGACACGACGAGGGAGGAGGATGGAAGCCTTACATATAGGCGAGTTTTGCATCGTATGGTAGAGCTGCTCTATTTTTCTCGTAAGTATGATAGGCGGCAGCCTACTATGACAATTTTTATCGGCCATTAAATTGCACACGCGTTACAGCGTGCAATAGGTACTGCTAGCTCATACGGGACCGTAGATATTATCATGTATGCGTGCGTAATAAATAGCCCGCGAAACCAAACGACTCGGCGATCGTGGCGTATAGGTATACAGTGGCCTCGTTGCACACAGCATTTCTTTTACGCATGTATACATGTGCACACGGTTACGTCACGAGCGTCGAGGGCAGGTGAGTTATTGTATCGGGAGAAAATCGTTTTTGGCTACCAAATGAAATTTTACCATTATGCGGAACGAGAGCTCCGGCGAATAATCATCAGTTTATACCGAGGAAACGAGGCGAGCTAGGGAGAAAGAAAGTAAATCGAAAACGAATCGTTCGCATCTATTATTCGTACGTGTTTATACGTCTCTTGAATTACTTGGTCCGTCCATCAGTCTAATGGCAATGGACGAAACGAATTACGGCATCTATACGTATTAAACGCCGGAAGATTTTTATCAATGAGGATGGCAAAAATTTATCGTCGAGCCTTTTTCCCCGTCGTCTACTCTCGTGGGAGAAACGCACAGCAAACACCTCCAACCGACATCCCCGAGCTCTTTCTTCCTTGGCTATGTGTATCTTGCAGCCAGTGCTACTGCCCTCGAGACATTTTCCGCCATTAAACAATTAAGACGACGGAGAGTCGTAAACAGTGGCTCGAGAGAGAGATACCACCATTCCCACCCTCCCACTTCAGCAGACAGGGATCCTCCCTGTACTGCACATCTGTGCGAGAGGTGCTTGAAAGCTGCACCGACGTCGTCCTTACCCTGTGTCTTTGCTCTTTTTCCCTTTCCTAACCGGGACAAAGGAGCTGTACACGGGGCTTTGTCCACGACGAGCAAGTGATACGAGAGATTCTCCCGAAGACACGAGGGAAAAGAAAGGACAGGGCAGTTTTCCTCTCCCGCTCCCTTGGCGGTAAATAACAATAAAACTCGATTAATGCCCGGGTGGCCTTGCCGGAGGATACAGTCGCCGTCTTTGGATCCCAGCCAGAAGCCTGTGCACGTGGGTGTGGCCACTATTCAATACCGACCACCCTTTATGTCTCCTATCCCTTTTTGTGCGTGTGTGTGGCCGTATGAGTGTTTGTTCCACACGAGCTGGATATTGCAAGCGTTTGGATTTTGTCAGCTGTGAGCTTTCGGGGTGCGTGGTATTGCAAAATGACGTGTGCAACTTTGTTGGATGTCACGGTACGTTTAATTCGTATTTCGATTTTTTTTTTTTAATCATCATCGATGGATACCTGAGTGAATCGAAGCAATGACGTCGTGTTTTGTTGATTTGCTTTAGATGCTTACAGTAAGACTATCTCAACAAACGGGGGAAGTGTTACTTTTTGGTGCAAAAATTTCTATTGAAGTTCCGTGTTTTTTCTCGCTGATTTTCCATTCTCTGGCGGGCTAGCTCCCATGCAAATGGCTTTTAAGTTTTAACGCCCCCCGTTGAGCCCCAATCGTCTATTTTTTTTTCTCTCGGAAAGAAAGAGCGAGGAATGCAATGAAAGCATTTGGGTACAAAATTGCCTCTCGAATAGTGGATCGAATACGAAACGATAGGTATTTGTACGCGAACGCCACGGTTTTTCCAGCATCAATCTCAGCTTGCATATTACTTTATTTTATGGATATTTCTTCAAAATTACTTGGATACTGAGGTACTTTTGCGTTTCACGTACATTTTGCTCGATTTATATAGACAGTCTTAAATGACATTGTGACTACAGATTCTGGGTCACGCGAATCTTCATTCCAACGTATTTTAAAGGGGAGGTGAAGCAGATTCAAATGCTTTGCAAGAGTAACAAAGAGTATGATCGTAACTTTAATATAGTCTTCAAAGTTTGGTCCATTAACCCTTTTTTTCATTTTCTCCGCTGAGAATTATTACGACGGCGATTTCACGCGGATCATCCTTTTTGATGTAAACAAGGGATAAAGGGGCGGCTCTGATACTTTTCGGACCATCCAACGTCAATATTTCATCTTCCCAGGGCGCGTTATTCTTTTCAGTAGCTCATGTATTACATTTTTTACGCCCCCCATAAAGGGCGAGGGGTTAGTTTAAGATTCCGTGAGACGTCCGAAGATAGGCTGGGGTGAACCGTAGCAAGGGTTTTACGAAGGGGTTAAAAGTATACGATATGACTTTGCGCTCTGTGTATGGAAATTTATTGCATCACGCCGGAGGTATGGATGATGATGTAACAGCAATCTTTCCTCCCAAATCGCTTCGACTTGGCTCGGTCGGAGTTTCGTGCTGACTAAGGAGTCACACGGATCTTCCATAATCCGTGTGGAATTAGCGACAGCCGGTTACCCGCACACGTGTGTATTTTTCACTCGACTTGAAAATCCTAGGGCTTGGGTTCGCGAGGAATAAAGTAGCATCACGTCTATGGGCTCACTTTGTGCGTGAATCATACGATGTATCTTGAATGAAATCTCCAATGTTCTTTGTATCTCTGATAGATTTTTGTTACATTAGAAATTACGAATGTTGACTTGTCGAAGAATGCCTTGATGAAAGTTTTTTTTTTGCAAACCGGGAAAACATACCGAATGTCACAACAATTATCGTCATATCGCTTAAACGGCCCACAAAAGCCGTTCGGGAGGAAAGAAAAAAAAAAAAAAAAAATAGCCACGCAACCGAGCGAGTTAATCCTCTGCTGCTGGTGCTACTAGCTACAACCACTAAAGCACTCGACCTACATCTTTACGAGCAACAACGGCGGCAGAGCTGCCGCGAAAGTCGGTCGGCAAGCACACAAATACACCACGTGACATCGTGTAATCCGTGGCAACGAAATCGTGACGACTTTGTAGTCTCTGCTTGCCACACCCTCCCTCCTTCCCCCAAACTCTACTCCTACTCTGCTGCACCTGTTGCACTGCAGCCGATAACGCGCGATCTCCTTTCCGCAGCCGCGCACAGTCGTGAGTGCATTATTAAAATTCATTCGGCTCGGAGCTAACTGTATGCACTGCCTTGTGTCTCTATTTACTGCAGAGCTGACTGAGGATGTGTGCCACCGTCGCTCCCCTTACTCTTCCGATTGACACCACAGAGAGGCTTCTTGTCAACTCGGCATCGTCGTTACTTAAGATCTTTTGCTACTCTGTAATTAACTAACACGGTAAACGTACGCCTCGAAGGCAAACTTCCTGATGCTTCGCTCAACGGCGAATAGTACAGGTTCCACGCACAGTGAAGCCTAATAATGCTTTTCTTTGCCATTAAGCTTGAATTCTTCATCTTCCGATGAGGGGCAAAGTGAATTTTAACGGAGGACAAAGTGATAAATTGAGGGAAAATTGCGGGGGTCGAGAAAATAACGGAAGCGTTTTAGCGCTTCGTGAAATCAAGAGCTCAGCGCGTCCTCCGCGAGGAAATTCATTGTGAATTCATCGTGTTATGACGAAAAAGCAATTAATTACATAGTTTCAAAGTCTGCGATATAGCGATTCAAAGAGACAACTTTTCACACGGTTTTGCGAGAGAGTCTTTTTACTGTTGATCGTTTAATTAAAAAAAATAATGAGATACCAAGTGAGGCCAAAACAAAATTCGTTCTACTAACATTTGTAACTGAAATCGTAACGACTTTCCTGACTTTCACACCGCTCCTTACAACCGTCAAGAGTAAAAAACTCGTCGAGCTTTTCGAAATCGATCCTCGGATGCGTTTAGCAGTTTTCCCGTTTCTTCCTTCCGAGAGTTTGCAAAGAAGGGAAAGTCCTTTCTTCACCGCCGCCGGGCTTTTCGTCCTGTTTTCCCTCTCCACTGTAACTCGTAGCTACCGCCACCACCACATCGGCACCAAACGCAATCCGTCTCTTTCTCGCTTTCGTTGCGCATCGAATGACAGCCAATTTTTATCCCGGTGATTGCATTTGCAATTCCGATGTGAAATGCGTAGCCCATCTTAGCCTTTCCTCACCCTCTTCGTACCCGTTTTTTTTTTTTT